TTAAGAGGCTTTGTTCTCCACTACAATAAAAAAGTGACTGTGACTCATCAATCAAACAAATTATTCATGTCGAATGTGGTACACTGTACTATTTATTCTCCTTTTCTATGCCTGAAATTTTCCGTAATAAAAAAAAAATCTTTTTAACAACCTGTTAAAGAAAATTGCCATGTTTATCAGTTGCTGCTGAGCTGATTCTGACTCGTAGTAAGCCCAGGTGTTTCAGAGTAATCGGCTCCATAGAGTTTTTAGAAGTAGACAGCTAAGCCTTTCTCGTGAGTTATCACTGGATGAACTTGCATCTCCAACCTTTCAGTTGCCTGTTAACCATCTGCAATACCCAGGGACTCTACTATCAAGGTTAGCTGATGATAAGAATAGTTGACATATTCACAATATTAACAAACAATAAGAACCATATGATCTTAGCAATTGGTGCTGAAAAGGCAAACTCCAACACCCTTTCCTAATTAAGACGCTCAGCAAAACCAGTATAGAAGGAAATTTCCTCAATATAGTGAAAAGTATATATGCAAAACCAAGAGCCAATAAAACTAAAAGCATATTCCTTGAGATCAGGGGATCAGACAAGGGTGCACATTGTCACCACTTCTAATGACTGAAAACCCTAAGTCTCTGTAAACTTTCATTAAATTAATAACAGGAAAAAAGTCTCTCATTTACAAGTGATATATTAAATTCTTCTAATCATATATAACGTAATTCAAGTAAATGGTTTTTATTTCTAATTTAAAAAAACCAAAAAACAACCCCAAGCATTTGCCCATGTATGTAGATAAAAGGCTCACTTACAATATAAACAGATCTGTTTTTTATATCATTTTTGTACTCATCAGTCACTTCAGGGAGGGGTTTGCTTGGAGATCTTCTGATCTTAGTTTTATCTTCACTTATTTCCATGAGTTCTACTTTTGATTTCTTCAATGCCTCTACTATTACATTAAAGTCTGTTGTTAGACGATTTAATCTGAAGGGGGGGGAAAATCACTGTGAGACACAGCAGCATTAATTACTAACATAAAACTTACAAACAATTTTAAAATGGTTTTTACCTGTTGAATTTTATCATTATCTCCAAAGGTACCCATCCTTCATCTAGTTTGATCTGTTCCTTTAAAAATTTGTCCCGTGGTAAGTTGAAGTCACCAAAATAATACTGCAAGATAATCACAATTTATTTCAGGAGACTATAACATATGAACTCAAAATCTCTAGTTTTCAAGTATCACTAAACTATTAAAAACTGCTAAGGATTTATGTCATCACTACAAGAGGCAATGAACATTTTCCTGACATGACTTTAGTAATAAAACATTCATGACATAAACGAACAAATTAAAATGTTGACTATTGTTTCAAATCAGCTTTGGAAAGATTAGATCATTTAAAAAGAATTGAACTAGTAAAATCATGCTTATTTTTAAAATTGGAAAATAAAAATGTAACAAAATATAAAATGTTTAGTCACATTACAAAGCAAAGAAATAATCACAATTTAATAAGATTTTTGTTACCCCAACAAATTGGTATCTTAAAAATTAGAATACTTAGTATTGGACAAATTTCAGAGAAATGATCATGGGCCACGTTAACATTATTCCCCCATCATTTAGCATGAATTCACTGACTTTTAAATTTCTTCTCTTAACTTTTGCTGGTGTCAGTCTGATCCAACATAGTTGTGTAAAAAAGCACAATACTCATGACAGACATTTCTAATTGATTAGGCGAAACTATTTTTTGTTTAAACAAGACTTCAAAAGGTATCTTTCATTTAAGGCTTAACGACTGTCTTGAGGTAATAATTAAGGGCCTCATGTAGCTTGTTCCACAGCTCCAGAAATTCTGGATTTTATGAGAATTTTGTGAGAGAGGAAACAGCATCTACCAAACACCTTATGGAATTTGTTTCGACAATTTAGAGTACGGAACATCCAAATTATCTGTTTTAGGAGTTCTGTTTTACCTTCCAAGTCAATGAACACTGTCTAGGGTCATAAAAACTTGGAAAAACTGCTTCAAAGTATACAACTGGTCTCTATTTGTCTGGAACAACAGAAGGCGATTTGGGCCTAGGAGAAGAAAATGGAATGTGTGGCTAACTGCCTCTATGAACAACTGCCTCCTTTATCATGTGACTAGAAAAACTGGATGGTGTCCAATTACCATTCCAGTACTGAATTCTGATCAAAAGAGGGAAAAATGCAGTACCAAATTTCAAGTTCTTCATTACCTATGGCCAGTTTATGCTATTCTGTGATCATTTCAATGTACCTATGTTCACTCTATCTCCTAGAAATTTTATCTTTAGGATTAAACCCCCCCCCAACATATTTTATTAAGGTTGACAAATACAAAAAGTTACAACAACAACAATAGAAATCAAGTCTGTTCCAATTTCACCTCACAGGCCAGAACTGAAGGGTGAAGTCTTAGGAAAGTTCATCAGGCATTTAGATTTGATTACGTCAGGAAGCTGGATCTGAGAAGTGGCTAAGTTGTAGGAAGAGGAATATTTTCTACATATCTCTTTGTCTTATTCTAAGTATTTCACATATAAGGAATAATTTGTAATTTTCCTTTATATTGATAAAATAGTATATTTAAAATAACATGAACAATTTAAAATGGCAGAGGTGTATAACTTTTTAAAAAATTTTATTATTTTGTGTGTGTATATACTGTCATATAGAATCTGACTGGTAGAGGAGATTGTCCCTCCTTCTCCAGCAGAGCATCTTTTGGATTTAAACTGCACGCCTCTGTGGTTGCACTGCACCTTCTTACTACTACGCTGCCAGAGCTGAGAGTTGAGGGCAAAAAACCCAGAACACTCAAGCTATGTCATGAAATACGACTCTTAATTCCTCAGTATCAGTACAAACCATTAGGGCTAATTTTTTATGCTGACTGTGGAACAGACCACCAACTCCTCATATGCAAGTTCCAGCTGAAGTTAAAGAAAATGAAATCAAATCCAAGGAACTAAAATTTGACCTTAAGTCTACCACACTCCAATTTCAAAACCATCTCAGAACAGGTCTGAGGCCTTGAATACCAATGAGCAAAGACCAAATGAGCTGTGAGAGGATATCAAGAATATCATCCAGGAAGAATGTAAAAGGCAGAAGAGGAAGAAAAGACCAAGATGGATGTCAGAATAGACTCTGAATATTGCACTAGAAAACTGAGAAGCCAAAGCACAGGGAAGAAATAAAGGAGCTGAACAGAAGATTTCAAAGGACAGTGTAGGAAGACAAAGTTTTATAAAAATGTGCAAAAAGCCAGAGTCAAACAATCAAAAGGGCTGATTTTGCTCAGCATTTCTCAAAATGAAGGAACTGAAGAACAAATTTAAGCCTCCCGTTGCAATACTTTAAGGATGCTTTGGACAGAATACTGAATGATCCAGAAAGTGTTAAAAGAAGATGGAAGGAGGATAGCGTTATACTGTACCAAAAGGAGTTGGCTGGCAAAGAAGAATTTCATGGAACAATGTATGAGCAAGAGCTTATGGTGATGAAGGAAAGTTCAAGCTGCTCTGAAAGAACTGGCAAAAAACAAGTCTCCAGAAAGTGGTAGTAAACCAACTGTCATATTTCAAAAGACACTGCCCTTGATGTGCTAAACTGTGCAAAGAAATCTGGAGGACAACCACCTGGCCAACTGACTGAAAGAGATCTATATTTGTTCCCATTCCAAAGAAGGGTGCCCTTATAGTATGAAAATTAATATCACATGCAAGTAAGATTCTGCTGAAAATGATCCAAATACAACTGGAACAGCACATCAACAGAGAACTGCCAGATGTGCAGGTGGGTTTAGAAGAGGCTGTCATACTAGGGATATTATAGCTAATGCTAGATGGATCTTAGCTGAAAGCAGAGAGTACCAAAAGAACACCTACTTATCTGTGTTTCATTGACTAGAAAAGGCATTTGACTGCATGGATCACAACAAACTATGGGTTAACTCTGAGAAGAATGGGAATCCTAGCACATTTGATGTGTTTATGTGAAACCTATATTTGGACCAGGAAGCAGTCATTAGAACAGAGAAAGGAAACACTGCATGGTTCAAAATCAGGAAGGGTGAATGCCAGGGATGTGTCCTATTTCCATACCTTTTCAATCTATATGTAGAACAGATCATCTGGGAGGCTGGGCTTTATGAGGAGGAATGTGGCATCAGGATTGGAGGAAGACCATTAACAACCTGAGTTATGCAGATGATACAATCCTGTTTGCTGAAACTGAGGAGAACCTGAAGTACTTGCTGCAGAAGGTCAACGACTGCAGCTCTCAATATGGACTGAAGCTCAACATCAAAAAAACAAAGACTCTCACCACTGGGCCAACTGGCAGCAGTTAGATAGACAGTGAAGAGATTGAGACTGTTAACAGCTTTAGTTTGCTTGGCTCCACAATCAACACTCTTGGTACCAGCAGCCAGGAAATCAAAAGATAAATTACACTGGAAAAGTCTGCTGTCAGTAGCCTCTGCAGAGCACTGAGGAGCAACAGCATCAGCCTGGAGACTAAGGTGAGCCTGACTCAGGCCATAATCTACACAATTACTTGCTATGCATCAGAAAGCAGGACATTGACTAGGGACGATAGAAAGAGAATAGATGCTTTTGAGCTGTACTGCTAGAGAAGAGTACTGAATATAGTAGCATGGGCTGCCAGGAGAACAAACAGGTTAGTCCTAGAGAGGGTGAAGCCAGGCTGCTCCTTGGAGGAGGCGTCTCTGGGCATGATGCAGGGAGGAACCAGTCCTTGGAGAGGGACATCATGCTTAGGAGGGTGGAGGGATAGCACAAAAGGAAGACCCTGGATGAGATGGATTGATTGATTCAGTGAAAAGGTAATGAGGGTAGGTGTGTCAGAGACAATAGGGTTGGCAAAGGACAGAGCAGGTTTCAAGATTATTGTACAGTGTTGCTATGAGTTGCAAGCTACTTGAGAGCACAAGATGTAGCGATTATAAATAATCAACATCAACCTAATCCCTAAATTCATATATATGCTATTAGGGCTTCGACACTACTTATCTTAAAAGTTATAACAGCTTGGAAGAACTAATACTACGATCTTAAAAAATTTAAGGTGTTATTTAACAGAGAAATAAAAAGAATTCTCATGCTATTTTATCATGTACCAGGCACTCTTCTAAGTGTTTTAGTAAATAATTTAATCCTCACAAAAACCTGGGGAAGGAACTACTACTATCCCCATTCTAGAGACTAGAAAACGAAACAAAAATTTAAATTATACCATTCTCATTGCTGTAAAGTCAATTCTAACTCAAAGCCACCAAATATAAGTCCATTCCAAGCTTGGATGACCTCACATGCTTCAGAGTAAAACTAAAACCCAGAATTTGCTTGGCTATAAATTTTACAGAAGCAGATTAACAGGTCTTTCTTCTAAAGCCCTACTGGGTGAATTCAAATCACCAATCTTCAATAAGTAGTCAACTGCAAACTGTGTATGTCTCCTAAGGACTTAACTAAAACTTGTCTATAGCTTCTGAAATGTTTGTTTGTAGCCCATGGACTCCATTAACTAGCTCTACCAACATAAAGCGCTACAATGGCTGAGTCCACTGCAAGTTGTCACTTTAACCCAAAGGCTGCGCCTCGGGCACAACCACAAACACCAGCCACTTCTCCAAAGATAGATGGGCAATCTGCTCTCCTGTAAGATTTACAGCCTTGGAAACCTGCTGGAGGATCAACTCCGAGTCAGTTCCAAAGTGACAGCAATAAGACTGAGACCAATATAATATTACATACTACTGTAAATAATAAAATTCTAAGAATAAGTCAAAAGTTAAATACACCAATATGCTGAAATAACTAAATTTTCTGTATCCAAGGTCCTTTATTTCAAGATGTCTGTTATTACAATTTAACAGCATAAGATTCATACCTCAATCTGATGACAGATTTTGGCCTCCAGCTCAGCCATTTTTTCATTATCACCATTTTCTGCCATTGTGGCTTTCTGAAAATTTCCTAAATTGGCATAAAAAAATATTTTTTAATTATTTATTTCTACATAAAACCCAAGACCAGAATGTTTAAAAATGAACAATATCCCACATATTTTTTCCTTAAACATTAAGAATTAATAATTTCACAATGACTTAACAGCTGTAGTCAAGGGGATTGCACTCAACAATTTCTCTAGTCAATTCACAATTATTTCAACAAAACCTAACTTTGGAATAAATAGAGCACTGGGAAAACTACCAACAGTTTGCTTTCCTTTCAGTAAATTAAGGTAAGGCACTTTGGTGGCATAGTAAGTTACATGTTGAACTGCTAAGGGAAAGGTCAGTGTTCAAATCCCCAGGACAGTTCCCTCCTATAACCATTTACATTTTCAGCCTTGGACACCCTATAGAGATGTTACAAATAAAAGCAGATTTAATGACCGTGATTCAGTACATTTACAGCACCATCTTCTAAAATGAAGCAGCATTTTATCTTCATTTAGCTCATCAAGTTAGCTTTAAACAATTTGCAGTCAAGTAGATCCTGATTCATAGGGGCTCTCCATTAGGTTTCCAAGATTGTAAATAAAAAGAGAGGAGACAGCCTTAAAGGTGGGACAGAGTTCTAGTCAACCATTTAGAATAATCTCCAGCTGTTTTTTATAAACAGATATTATAATATACTGCCAGTATGTTACTGTGGATCTCAGTCCTACTTGTTAAATCTACTTCTTTTCAAAGTAGATTAAAAAAAAGAACTAATATTTGTTATTAAAAAAAAATTCAAGTACCATAACTTTAATGTAGAGAGGAGGCTTCAAATACTACAGCTTTAAGGATCAGATCAGATCCTGTATAATTTTAGGTCGGCAGCACAACTCCTCATCACTGTCACCAGGGCTCTCTAAACTCTGTACAACCTTGAAGGAACATACGAAAATGAGGGTTTGGGGATACTAACATTAAACTGGGAGCTGTTGTTGTTATGGGCCACTGGGTTAGAACCAACTCATAACTAACTTTCCAGCAGGTTTTCAGAGGCAGTAAGTCCCACGGGAAGAGACAAACCATTCTCCATCCCCTCCCATGGAGCAGATGGTGGATTTGAACCGTAGGCCTTGAGGACTATAGTGCACCTTCTTACTTGTAGGCCACCAGAGCCCCCTAAACTGGAGGTATGCCTACTCACTGCTCATCAGTCTGTTCCAATTCAATGAGCCCTAATTCACTAAGATACATGTTAATCTCCTAGTAAGTTTCCTGTTTCACATTTCTGGCACCAATGGTTTAGAAAATTATTGAGACTAAAGTTAGGATGTCAGGGATCAAAAAGGAACTCTTCTGGCTTCAAATTCCTTGCCCCTCTGCTTTACTGAAACACCATTATGAGACAAGAACTCACCTGGGTTTTTGTCATTAACTGAGTCTAGGGATTAACTATTACCGATACAATTCTTGGCGGTCTCGAGATCTTGTCATTTATGTACTGATTTCCCACCGTCATTATTGGAAACTCTTGCAATGGTGTACATATACTGAAGAATCTGTTCAACTGTATTCATTTGCTTTTCTAACACAGCCTACACTGCTATTATCGTGACGTACGGTCCCTTATAAAAGCAAACGCTGAAACCAAAGAACTGGTTCCTACGAGGTTTCTTTGGCTTATACCAAAGAATGAAGTATTACCCACACTATCTCATTTCCCAAAACAGACGTCGTAGGGTGAATGAGGAAAGATCATAAAAGCTCAGAAGAATTACTCCCGGGAAAGACCCGAGGCTCCAGCTTTCAAGCCTCCAGGACAGTCCCATAAGCCTCACCTAGAAGGTTTACCTCGAACCAAAATCTCCCCCAGAGACTTAGACAAATGGAAGTTTCCTGGCCCTTAAAAGGCAGCGAAAATTCAAAGCCAAAAGGGCTCAGTGAGAGCACAGGCAGCTTCTACCCAGAAACCCCGCCAAAGCCCTGCCCTGAAGCAACAACTGGTTCATTTGGGCTCCAGCCACGTGCGAGGAACCCCAGTCTCCCACATCCCTCACAAGTTGCTGCGGGTTCCACAGCCCATGCGGCTCCCATCCGGGTCCACTCACCCGAAAGCGAGAAAGGCGAGGAGCGAGCGCGCTCCGCGAGGGGCTGCAAGGGAAGAGACCGTGTCCTCTAGTTCCACGCAAAGCGGACCCCTTTGGGCTTCGTTCTCATCAGCCACAGAGAATTGTTCACCTTGATGGGTCTAGTCCTGGAGAAGCGATTCCAAGGATACCGGTAACAGGACGTCGCAATTACTAAACGCCGCCAGACGCCTAACGCGCTCAAATATGGGGAAGAAGGCGCCGTCCCGGCAGGCCCTGCGGCCCGAGGGGGCGGGGTTTCCGGTTGCTGGAGTCAGCGTCGCGTTTTGCGTAGGCGCGCTGGTGTTGAGCTCACAGGGTCCCTGTGTTATCGCGGCATGGAACCTTTATTGATAAGCAGTGGATTCTGTTAAGAAAAAGCTCTTAATTTGTGTTATTGTTGTTGTTGCTGTTGTGTATCATCAAATCGGAGCCGACCCATAGCTTGCCTTTCCGTGGGTTTTCAGGGACAAACACGCTGTTTGGTTGGGGAGATGCCTCCCTCCTCTCTTTTTGCAGCTGCTGAATTCGAACTGCATGTCTTAAGAGTTGATCCGATATAATTCAATTAAGTGGGTTTGAAAGGCACTAAGCTTTCCGCTTAGTTTATGAGTTGTTTTTTAAATGTTGTCACCAACCAATGTTTATTCTCTTAGCGGTCATGGTATGTTCAATACTCCAGTACCACAACTCAAAGGCATCTTTTCTTTCATCCTTAGACATTAACCAGTATTTTATTTAGGATTTTTGCATCAATATTCATGAGAGATATTGGCCTATAGTTTTCTATTTTGGTGGTGTCTTTTCCTGGCTTTGGTATCAAAG